ATAGGTCACATTGCACCAATGTGCTTCACTAAACATAAGCATTTTCAACAAACACACATACACACCGTACACATGCTAACCAAAAAAGACCCAACAAGAAGTGGGTACCTAAACCGTCTCATTGATCTCATTTTGTAGGTGTGCTTGAAGGCTTCAAGTACCTCTTGGTATCTCGATAGTGGATACTCCAAGCACATGACCGGAGACACATTCAAACTTAGGAATATATATATTATTTCAAAGGTGGCAATGTTGATTTTGGTGAAAACAACAAGGGAAGGATCGTTCGAAGTGGCACCGTTGGAAAAGATAATTTTACGACCGTTGAAGATGTTCTTCTTGTTGAAGACCTCAAGCACAATCTTCTTAGCATTAGCCAATTGTGTGATAGAGGTAACCGGGTCAACTTTGATTCTAGTAAATGCATTGTAGAATGCTTGTGTGACAATAAGATTATTCTTTGTGGTAGTAGAGTAGATAATGTTTATATGTTTGATCTTGAAAATTTTGCTTCTACTTCAGCTAAGTGCCTTATTAATGAAGAGGAAGAAACGTGGTTATGGCAGCATCAGATAACTTATGTTAACATGGACCATCTTAACAAGTTGGTTTCTAAAGACTTAGTAATTGGTATTCCTAAACTTAAGTTTGAGAAGAATCTAATTTGTGATGCATGTGAAAAGGGTATGCAAGTAAGGACTTCGTTTAAGTCAAAGAACGTAGTTTCTATCACTAGGCCATTACAAATTTTGCATATGGACCTTTTTGGACCTTCAAGAACTATGAGTTTAGGAGGAAATTACTTTGGATTCGTTATTGTTGATGACTATTCGAGTTATACATAGACACACTTTCTTGCTCATAAGTATGATGCACTTAGTGTTCTTAAGAAATTCATTAAATTGGTTCAAAATGAAAAAGATTGTCACATTGTATCCATTAGAAGTGATCATGGGAGAGAATTTGATCAAGATGGCTTTGATGTATTATGTGACGAATTAGGCATTGAGCATAGTTTCTTAGCCTCTCATACACCTCAACAAAATGGCATGGTTGAACGGAAAAATAGATCGCTTGAAGAGATGGCTAGGACTATGCTTAATGAGGCAAACCTTCCGAAATACTTTTGGGTGAATGCCGTGGGTACCGCGTGATACGTTTTAAACCAAGCTGTCATTAGAGCGATACTCAAGAAAACGCCCTATGAACTTTACCATGGAAGAAAGCCTAACCTTTCATATTTTCATGTCTTTCAATGTAAAGTTTTTATTCATAAGAATGATAAAGATAACTTGGGAAAATTTGACGCTAAGTCAGATGAAGGAACTTTCTTAGGTTATTCATTGCGTAACAAAGCATATAGAGTGTTCAACAGGCATACTAAGACCGTAGAAGAGTCTATTCATGTTGTGTTCGATGAATTTGATGCTCGTTTGGCGAGAAGAAGTATTGTTGAAAATGTTGCAAGTTCTTACGACGAATAAGAAGAGATCGTCAAAGAAAAGGAACCAGAAGAAGAGAAAATGCAGGAGAAAACAGAGATTTCTAAGGAATGGAGGACGTTAAAGAATCATCCTATGGTGACATATCGTAGGGAGTTTCTACTCGTAATTCTCTTAGGGACAATGTTAATCACATGGATTTTGTTTCTCATATTGAACCAACAACCGTTTTGGATGCATGCCATTAATGATGAATATTGGTCTATAGCAATGCAAGAGGAGCTTAACCTATTCAAACATAATGATGCTTGGGAATTACTTCCTAGACCTAATGATCATTTTATATTAGGCACAAAATGGTTGTTTCGTAATAAACTTGATGAAAATGGAATAATCACTAGAAACAAAGCTAGGCTCGTAGCTAAAGGCTACAATCAAGAAAAAGGCATTGATTATGAGAAAACTTATGCACTGGTTGCATGTTTAAAAGCTATTCGTTTATTGCTTGCATTTGCATCTACGATGGATTTTAAACTTTATCAAAAGGATTTCAAAAGTTCCTTCCTTAATGGTATCATTGAAGAGGAAGTGTATGTCAAACAACCCCTAGGTTTCGAAGAGTATGAGTTTCCTGAACATGTCTTCAAACTCAAAAAGGCACTTTACCGTCTCAAACAAGCACCTCATGCTTGGTATGAACGGTTCAACAAATTTCTTTTGGACCATGAGTTCATACGGGGACAAGTCGATACTACTCTTTTTATCCAGAATGATAACCGAGACATCCTTTTGGTTCATATCTACGTAGATGATATCAGATTTGGTGTTACTAATAAGGTTTTATGCAAAGACTTTTCTGATATGATGCAAAGCGAGTTAGAGATGTCGATGATGGGATAATTAAAATTCTTCATTGGGCTAAAATTAAGCAATACAAAGAAGGTACATTTGTGTGTCAAACAAAGTATTGCAGGAAATTGTTAAAGAGATTCGACGTTACCGAATCCAAATCTATTGACACACCAATGAGCACCTCTTGCTATCTCGAAAAGGATGATAAAGGTAAAGAGGTAGACGTTAAGCGCTTCTGAGGTATGATTGGCTCTCTACTTTATCTTACCGCGATTAGCTTGGATATCATGTACTCCGTTCGTATGTGTGCTAGATATCAATCTTGTCCTAAAGAATTGCACTTGGCTGAAATCAAAAGGATAATGTGATATCTGGTAGGCACGTTGAACGTAGGTCTTTGGTATCCCAAAGGTTCGACGTGTCACCTTGTTGGCTATTCTGACTCAGATTTTGCTGGATGCAAACTCGATAGGAAAAGTACCAGCGGTACTTGCCACTTGTTCGGTCACTCTTTAATCTCTTGGTTTAGCAAGAAACAAGTTAGTGTTGTACTATCCACCACCGAAGTGGAATATTTCGCTGCGGGAAGCTGTTGTGCCCAAATTCTTTGGTTAAAACAACAACTAGTGGACTTCAGCATAGTACTTGATCACATCCCAATTACGTGTGACAATATGAGTGCTATTAGTCTAACAAAGAACCTCGTTCTTCATTCTCGGACTAAACACATAGAGATTAGGCATCACTTCATACGAGATCATGTCCAAAAGGGAGATGTAACAATTGAGTTTGTTGAAACGAAACATCAATTGGCGGACATTTTCATAGAACCACTTAGTAGGGAGAGTTTCAACAAACTTGGTATTTTGGACATCTCTATGAACTAATTCATTATTTTATTTTAATGTACTAACTTGAGCGTTGGAGGCACAATAAATCTTTTTTGCAGGGCCTTGTTAATGTTTCAAGTTCTGAGCTTCTTTAACAAAGCAACAGAATTGAACTTTAGAGGTTTTTCAAAGCTGGAATAGAGGGGATCGATCCCCACATATAGATCGATCACCTAGAGCCTAGAAATAAAGAAGGATTTCAAACACTCCTTCGGCGGATCGATCACACCCTCTTGATCAATCACCTGGAGTAATTAATTTTTATTTCTCGCTCAAGTCAGTATTTGGAAAATCGATCACACCGCTTGGATCGAGCAGTTGGACTTAATCGACACAAGTACGTTTGCTTCGGTGGATCGATCAACCTTTCTAGGTCGATCACATAGACTTTAGGTATAAATATATCACACTCTCTCTTTTCTCACTTTTTTCTTACGCTCTTCTCTTTGCTCTACGAATGTATTTCCGAGATTTCCCAGGTATGTTTTGTCAATTTTTCATCATTTTTCTTAGAATTTCATGCAAATGTGTTGTTTAATCTTACACATTTGCCATCTAGATTGTAAATTAGTCATTATATATGTGTTTCAATAGATTTCTTGTACCTCTGTTCAAACCCTAACGACATAGCGGGAAGAAGCAACAAGCGCCTTCGCACAAGGAACATGAAAATTAAATACTATCTTGAGAGCTATAAAACCCCTCTTCCGCCATTTCATACACAATTAAAACACTCCTATCACTCCCTCTCATACATTCCACTCTTACTCCATTCTTGATCATCAATATACTATTTTGAGAGCTAGAAACTTATTTTTATTGAGTGCAAAGATATTGTCATCCATTGGAACTTTACATTTAAACACTACTTGCTTAATTGTGTGAGTTTGTGAGTTTTAAGACTTGTGTGAAGTATAGTAGGACCTTTGAGAGAGTATCTCGGAGGACTGGAATATCACCGAGGTGGTGAAACAGTATATATCATGGTGTTCTTCTTTCCCTTTACTCTTTACATATTTACAGCGATTTTTTCCTTACGTTTATCACACACGCAAAAAATGCTCATTCTAGAAAAAAACTCTATTAACCCTCCCCACCACACTCTAGAGTTGCACGTTTTGTCTAACGGATACCCTTTCAATTACAAAGGCGCCAAAGAAAATTCCATTTTGGTATTCTACCTCGAAGTATTTGCACTAAATAGCACTAAAACATAAGTCATTTCCCAAGGTAGGACTTAAACTTTTTTCTTCCTTAAATAGCACTTAATAATGTCTAGGAGTAATAATGTCTAGTGATGGTGTACTTTATTGAAAAATAAGAACATATGATGTTATTTAGAAAAATCATTACTCCTTTACACTCCTCCCCACTGTCGTGCTCGCTCGCCCACACCAGCTGCCACCATCACCTCTCCATCAATGCTACAACCTCCCATCCTTACTATATACCTTACTTGAAAATCTCCTCCATACTCACTGCATGTCAACCTTTCAGCAATGTTACTTCGATAACCACCAGCCCACCTACCTCATCCACACCTATCCCTCCACCTAAATCCACACAACCCATGACTACTAGGTAGAGCCAAAAGTGGCATCTTCAAGCCCAAGATTTATGCCTCCCCCATTCCCATTGATGAACCACTTCTTACTGAGCCAACCACCTATAAACAAGCTCCTTAGAGTAAGTATTGGTGCCAGGTAGGAGTGTAAACGAATCAAATCGAAGCGAATATCGATATCTTTGAACTTGTATTTGTTTAATTTTTTCGAATACGAATCCGAATCTGGATATGAGACGAATTAAAAATAAGATTTGAATTTGTATTTGATTAATATTCGAATAGTTAACGAATCCTAAACGAATATTTGAATAATCATACTCCATAATTTATAAGATGGAACAACATCAATTTTGAATAATTTAACTTAAGAAACTTGTACTATATCTAAAATCATTAATACATTTGCATCATATACAAATTATATTTTATAAAATATAATTATTAAAGATCATATTCCTTAGATTTTTGTGTAATGTTAATTTGTTGAGTTCTCAGTAATTTAAATACAATTTATACTATATTAGTTTGCTTTACTATTGATGTTGAAAACATGGTCTGTTTGTATATACATATATTCGAATATTCGAATATCACCCGAATCAAATATACTCTTATTTGTATTTGTATTTGTATTTTTATTTGCTTAATATTCGAATCAAAACTAATATTTGAATTTGAATTTGTATTTGAATAAAGTAAATTCGAATCATTATATTCCAATACGAATCACGAACTGAATTTAAATTATTTCATTTGTTTACATCCCTAGTGTTAGGCCATGGATGATGAATTTGAGGTGTTACAGAGATAGAATACATAGGTGTTGGTTCCTCCTCCTAATGCTCCGATTTCCAATTGGGTGCAACTGCTTCAATTTTCTTAAAAAGGAATTGTGAAAAGTGTGATTTTAATTTTTTTTGGAAAATCAAAATTAAAATAGAAATTGATGACTTTGTGATAGAGATGAAGTGAAAACAAAAGAGAAAAGTGCAACGTTTATCCCTGAATACTTTGAAAATTGCACAGTTTACCCCCGAGCATTAAAAAGTGCACCAATTACCCCTGGATTCTTCAGAAATTGCACGGTTCACCCCTAAACAATAAAAATTGCACCAAATATGATACGAATATCGTATCGGATAGGGAAGAACTTCGAGCGTTCTTCAAGCTCCAAGAAGAAGAGGTAGAGAAAGATGGAAAACTTCGAGCATTTCCGAACTCCAAGAAAAGAAAGACGAGAGATTAAGAGAATTCTTGATTATTGATTGATTGAATGATAATGATACGGGATTACAATATATAGAGACGAGACGGCAAACCTACAAGACCTAATGGGCTCGGGCCCATACAAAAACCCTAATCTTTAAAATACTGATAAATAATAATAACTAACTACTAATTAAATAATATAACTAATTAAAATATTCTAATTAACTATCCGTATCATTCCCACCCCCTTAAAAATTCACCTTGTCCTCAAGGTGGAGGCTCCCACTCGTGCTTTATGACCGGAGAAAGAATGCTGAACCAAAGGAACAGTCCACCCTTTGAACCTGCAACCATCTTGGCTCTTGCAACAAAGTGATGGAAAGATGAGACGATGCGCTTAACAGATGTAGTTGCTCTTAGTGAAACCAGGTGGTCCGTCTTGACCACAGCGACAAGATCAAACAACTTGATGGTGTCAATCAAAATAGGTGAGTGTGCTTGTTTACCATCTGCATCTGTCACTTTGTCAACACTTTTTGGAATATCATACTCTGCCATGACCACACCAGCTGAGGTATAAAATTTCTAAAAAGCAGGATCTAGCTTGTTGACATTGGCAACATCTTCTGCAAGAGGACTTTCATTTTTTTGCACAACGTTGGACCTCCCGTTATTTTTGTTTATGGCCTCAGGTCCGATGTCCACATCACCTCCAACTTGTGAGTCAACGTTGGATTCCTCCTTGAATGTGTGATCCTGTGCTTCAGCGTTTTGCTCAATTACTGTGGAGACCACATTTGGCTCAAAAGGCGGAGTGTCAATGAGAATTTTCATAGCGCCCAACATGTTTGTTTTAAAGTTTTGTAGCTCCAATGGAATCAAATTTGGCAAAATTGGGGGCCCACGAACTAAATCCTGTACCGAGCAAAAAATTTCTACGTCGAGCGCATCATAATCAATTTGCCCATTAAAATTATGGATCGACCTGAGCTTCACACTGATCTCATACACATGATCAAAAATCATACATACTTCTTCATCATGCTCAATTTCTCCATAAAGAACTTTTTTCAACAAATCAATGAGTTTGTCAAATGCAGAGTCCATTACCAAAATAAATACTTCCACACACAAATATCACCCAAAAAAACCTGGACGGATGGACTGTCAACAGCACCAGTGGAACAGGGCAACTCCAAATTGACGGCTTGCTGCTACGGTGGCAATCAATCTTTGGCGGGTTGATAAAAGGAAAAAGTGGACGGCGGCTCCCAAATACTTCAATCTGTGGCAATTGAAACAAACTGGATCACTTTGTAGGCAGAATTTTTGTGGTTGAAACAAGGCTTTGCAGGCAGATTTTGAGCAAAAATTGAGGCCCAGCGTCCGCAACTTGTGATTCAATTTTGGGACGGCGGCTTATGAGCAATCTCTCTGATTCTTCTACGGCGGCGTAGGAAAACACTTGAATCTGCCCGGCAAACAAATTTTATGTTTTTTTAGGGATATATTTTTTGGAATTTCTCTCAATGAAGGCACCAATTGATACGAATATCGTATCGGATAGGGAAGAACTTCGAGCTCCAAGAAGAAGAGATAGAGAAAGATGGAAAACTTCGAGCATTTCCGAACTCCAAGAAAAGAAAGACGAGAGATTAAGAGAATTCTTGATTATTGATGATTGAATGATAATGATACGGGATTACAATATATAGAGACGAGACGGCAAACCTACAAGACCTAATGGGCTCGGGCCCATACAAAAACCCTAATCTTTAAAATACTGATAAATAATAATAACTAACTACTAATTAAATAATATAACTAATTAAAATATTCTAATTAACTATCCATATCAAAATACCACTGAACTTTTCGAAAATTGTTCTGTTTACTCCTGAACATTTAAATAAAGACGACAATTTTGGGAAAAGGCCCTTTGAAGAATCCACAAGGGCCAAGTGAATCATATTCGCAATTCTTGTGTGTGGAAGCAACACACTCCCTATCTAATAATTTAGGACCAATTTTTAAAGAGTACGGGGTAAACAATGCACTTTACTCGAAAATAAAAGGATAGACGACAAAAGCACAGGTCTATATTCAACGAGAACGTTAATATTATTCATTTCAAGAGTAAAACACTTTCAACGGCACACAATACATAGTGAAATAAACTCACACACTGCGGCAGTTATTTTGCACACCCAAACCACCACGACTTTTTAATTGAATTTTTTCATCGTCACACACTGCATGCACACTATTACATAGTGCGTAGTGCGTGCATGTTACTTATTAGCATAAACATATATAGAACGATATATATATATATATATATATATATATATATTGAGTTGTTGTTCTCAATTAATTGAGGCCGCCGGCATCCATAGGTTTGGTGTTAACAACATCAGTTTCATTATCGAACTTAATGGCAACACCACGACAGTCAGGATGACAGTAGCTCTGACAGCTATTCCCACAGTACTCACAGCTAAGGCCACAATACCCCCAACGGCTACAACACCATCTGTTGGCACATAGAGCCCCTCCTGCTTGTCCTCCACATTGAAAGGCATCTGTTGTTGCAATTAGCATCATGGCTAAAGCCATAGTAGTAATAACAAGTACTGATGATGATGATGATGATGTTAACTTCATCTTCATCTTCTACTTCTTCTTTTCTACTCCTTTTTTTGGAGTTTGGCTTTTAGGTTGATGATATTCGAATGGAAGTAGATGCATGTATGTACATTTATATAGGGTGTGATCGATTTTTCTATTCTTGTGACAGATTTATAATGCCACTTGTGGGGCCGGGGTATATAGATACCGAGTACATATCAAACAACAAACAATAATTAAACAAATAAACCTCATCTAAATGCCACGTACAGCTGCTTCTGCATGTTGTCCCATCACTGCATGCATGTAATGCACGTATTTTGCTTGTCAGGGAAATATTCTTGAATTTTCTCTCGCCATACTCTGTTTGTTCCTTCAAATCTACTCCGTATTTCATAAGGTAGCATTCGGTCGACTGTCTCCCGAAATAAATTTAGAATAAAATTTTGAGCAAGACAATATTTTTAGAAAAAAATTTCGGACCGAATAAAAATCCGGCCAACCAGGCACTTCCACGTGTCGTGACCTGGCTGGCCGGCGAACTGTGGCAGCAGGAAAGCCAATCTTATCCTATTGCGTTGTGGAGGCTGAAGCAATCATATGAAAACAAAAAAAAAAGAATAAAGAAAGGACACAAGTTGACGGAAAAAAGAAAGAAAGATAATGCTATTTTTGTACTTCATTTTGTACCCCGCAGGAGTGCACCAACATTTAGTATAGGTGTAATGCTAATTTTTGTTAACGCACCAACACTTTGTGTCAGTGTAAATTTTTTTAACGTACCAAAACTTTGTATGTGTCAGTGTGAATCATCAAAATGTTGGTGCATACCTTTGGTGTACAAATTGAGTACAAATTTTGGGGTACATGTATCATGTGTAGTATAGAAACTGAGACAGTGGATCACTTGTTCTGTACATGTCTTTTTGAAAAGGAAATATCTAATTACATAAAGTGTGACATGGCTTCTTAACAGCATTAATGAGCTTGGACAGAAAATGTGGCTGGGAAGGTGCACAAAAGACAGATTATTCATTGCTTAATGCGTTACTGCCTGCTACTATTTCATTTGGAAAGTTAGGAACTCTAAGCTTCATGATAAAGAGATGCCTATGGAAGTTATCAATTTGAAGCTAAAGGAATATATTCGTATCATATCTGTATGTAGGCAACTTGTAGTTATTTCTTAAAGAGATGCATTTGTGTATCTTTGGTCTGTGATAGGTCTGGTTTTTGTGTTGTAAGCTTCGCGTGTACTGCTTGCTTAAAACTTGGTGATAATATAATGTGCTTGGTTCAAAAAGAAATTGAATAGAAGAAAGTGTTGGGGAAGCATGGAACAAAACACAACGGAAGCGTATAAATCTTTTCCCCATATTAATGAGATGAATAACAAGCACAATGAACTCTGAAAAATCAGCAGCACACACACAAATAAATGGCAGCGATAATAAAATAGATGACACACGATTTACGTGGAAACCCCAAATCGGGGAGAAAACCACGGCCGCTCAACAACGGCTCCCAAACTTCCACTAATCACCAAGAATCAAGTGGGTACAACAAGTTCTCCTCTCTAGTAAACACTAGAGACATACACAATCATCAAGGAGCAACCTTGGAACAACAACAATCAACAAATCACCATAAAATGGAGTAAAAACTTCCAAAAAACGCAGGTCTGAAAACGCAGCTAGAAAACAGCCTTCCGGGCATCAAAATTAGAATCTGACCCTTGGATTTGAAGAGGAGTATGTGAGGAACAACATACTAAAGTTTGAGCACGATCGGACTTCGTTTGGCCTTCGATCCGGACTGAAAACGAGGCTGCTGCACAGTGTGGCGAGAATTCTGTTTTTTCTTTCTTTTCTCCTGCGTTAGCTACTGCCAGTCCTTCACTTTCACTTCTTTTTGCTTTTGTGCTACCTAGATATTTGATCAATGTTTCTTAATAACTTAATTGGTACTCCTTTCTTCAAAACAATTCTGTGGTTTGAAATCCTAGAACACTTGATAACGTTAAAAAACTCAGTCGTTGTCCAATCACCATCTATTCTTACATCTGAATCTGCTTGACATGAACAATTAGAGCTCAAATATTTCTTTTTATCTCCAAGAATAAGAGACAAAACAAAACCATTGATCATTTCAACAACTTCAAGCGTGGGTGCTAATAAAGCCCTATCCATAAAAAAGTATAATCTTTCATATTTTCTAATAAGTCTACATTCGTGAATTCCACTATACTCTTAAGTTGAGAACTTGAGTTCAGGATCAAGGATTCAAATGGAATTTCAATTTCACCAATTCCATCATTAACCACGCCAAGTTGTTCATCTCCAATCTTGATTATCCACTTTGGAAAAAAGTTTTGTGCCACTGTTAGCGTGGCAGCAATGTAAATACTTTACAATATTACCACAAACTCGATGAAAAAAATTGGTCATAAAAATATGATTTCAGATCATTATGTTTTTTTAACTCGTGCTCTTATGAATCGTTGGACATCTGCGATTAAAGCAGCAGGTATGCTAAAATGCTTCGTCCTTTACTCGTTAGAAAATGACTCATGGCAAAACAACATTGAAGGCTAAAGTACTCAAATAGAATAACTCAAGGCTAAACATTCATTCAAAGCTTAAAATATTAAGTTTGAATAAACTAATGGCTTCAATACTTAAAGGGAGGCTTCCGTATTTCTATATCCATATTATCCATTATTAACAAAGACGTTAAAAATTGATTCACTCACGATTGAAATCCAAATAAAGCAACACTGAAAATTCAATTTGTTCAAAATTGAATTATAGAGGAATAAATCAAAAGAGAAGATGAACATAATCTAAAACTTCATCCATTTCAAGGTTGTCTTTAATTAGTTAACAGCAAGGGGTATGTAAAGATCTAAGAAAAGAAAAATGAATCAAAAAGAAGTCTCAAATCAATACCCGTTGACAATTTGCAAATTCTGCTACTTTGTATCTTTCAATATGTGATCTTTCCTTCCGCCGCTTCGTTTTATATATATAGTTGTGGAAATTTCAAGCAATTTCGACTGCAACCTTGCCACCTTTTCCTATCTTTCTATGAGTAAAAAGATAATCAAACTTGAATTATTGCATGAATAATAAATATTGAAATTAAGGAAGAATACACAGAGATATCTTAATACATTTGATTAAGTTTTTGGAACAAACCAATTTCAAATGAATCTTCTCCAGATTTGGCAAATCTTCTCTAGATTCTACCCGTGTGATGCACGGTAAGAATAATATACAGAGTAATAGTAATCAATGTAATATATAAATAATATAAATTACATAATATGAAATTGAATATTGATATATCTTGAAATAGATATGTTTCTAGATATGTTTTGAAACTTAACTTTGAAATAGTAAATTTATATCAAATTTTACCAATCCGTAAATATTTATATTAATAATCATAACATTACATTGAAAATCATGAAAAATCGAGAAAATTTCTAGACAGAGAGAATAGAACTTTAAAAGTGAAGACTTTGTATAACTATTTCTTCATCTAAGCACAAAGAGTTATGATAATTAATTTCAAAATAAATAAGACTGACAATTTTTCTAACAACATTTCTGAATGAATGAAATCATGCACTAAGCACCAACAAAAGTAACATGTTTCCTTAAAAATAGTCACCGTACATACTTTGTGGAATGGTTCAAATGGACATATCATTTCTTTAACTTTTATGTAGAGACACGACACATAATGCAATATTATCCAACTCACACACCGCTAATGAACACACAAAATCGGAGATGACATTCTTCAAATTGAATATATAAGATAATTTATTATTAAATTATTTCTTCATCTAAGGATGAAGAGTTATGATAATTAATTCCAAAATAAATAAGACTAACAATTTTTTCAACAACATTTCTATCCCTGAATGAATGAATTTATGCACTAAGCACCAGCAAAAGTAACATTTTTCCTTAAAAAAGTCACGTATATACTTTGGAATGGTTCAAATGGACATATCATTTCTTTAACTTTTATGTAGGAACACGACACATAATACAACATTATCCAACTCATACAACGCTAATGAACAACCATAAATTCGGAGATGACATTCTTCAAATTAAATAAAATAATTTATTATTAAATTATATTGCTTTAAATCATCCAATAATTCTTTTTTACTATCTTAAAACTTTTCATGTTGGTGAATGACTCATCTCCATTTCTAATATGAGGTGTATCTCTTGCATTCTCTTCATCAAAGTAACATGGTTATATCATCTCCAAGTTGTGATGAATGACTATCCTCAAATTTCACAAAGTCTGCAATTCAATTCTGCAAATTAAAATCATGTAAGTGTTAATGAATATAGTACTCTGTATTAAATTGCTAGTCTTTTTTAGTACTATTGACACTATTGCAAGTATTTAATTAGCATAAGTCAATCAAAAATGACATTGACATTGATTTGTAATTTTTAAAATCAATTTATAGTGTTGGGGATATTGCAATTTTGACTACATCACGAAACACTGTCTAACTTATTAAAGAATAATCAACATATCAATCCTAAGTTGATTCTACCATAAAGTCTATAGAAATCAAATTGATAAATTAATATTTGAACCAATTAGATGTGTAACAATATGTAGAAAGAGGTGTTGAACCAATTGAAAACCAAGAGGCAAAAGAAATAGAGTATTAAAAAAAAATTCATAAACAGTACTTTGATTTGCTTAATTTAACCTTGTTTAGTTCTTTTGGTATGTACTTTACTACATGCTTTTTGTTTGTCTTGCAGGTGAATTTCATGAGGGGCTTTGACTTCGTATTCTACTAAGAAATTGTCCTAACTGCCATTCATAGATAGTTGTATTAAGAACCAAAAATCTAAATCCTTTCACACAAAAAAATTTATCAGATTCCTATCTTGAGAAGCTCCTCTAACCTGCTTATGCTCTTCAGATTCTTCCTCTTCCTAAGCTGAGGAGCTAAAGAACAAAAATCAACCCCTAGCTAACCCAATCTCTTACCCAATCTCTTTGGCTGTTCTGCCCACACAATAACCCCAACTCACTACCCAAACTCTTTAGAATTCTCAAAGAATCCTAATGTGAACTATAAGTATTTGTAAAACAGTACTAATAATTGCCTCCCCTACTGAATGGAACTACAACCTTTCAAATAACCCCTAAAGACTGAAAAGATATCAATCATAATAAAGAAAGAACATGCCTATCTAAAATGGTAAATCATTAACCTGCATAAGTTGCTTGAACCATGCTTAAATAATTATTAGCGCAAGTCATACAAACTGGTAATTTAGCTCACTTTTTATTCTCAAGATGTCCACACACTACACTTTTCATTGCCTCTATTCTAGACTTGATTATTTCCTAGTATTGTTCCAAAGAAACTCAAAAATTAAATGTTATACCTTCATAACACATACACTTAAGGGGCACTAACCTTTCACCCTAAATTAATACACTAAAGTGGGACACCTACCATTAACATTTTGTTCAAATTCTGGATTGCTAAGCCCTGATATCAGGATTCAAGATTCAACCCAAACAACCACACTCCAAAACATTCAACCAATGTAATTTCACCCCAATACATGAGGCTTATAAACTTAAATTGCAGCAATATTAAGGCCTTACAATCCATGGACACTGACAAATAAAGCAGGCCACGCTACTTGGAGAAATTCGAAGCTAAAAAGCAAATGACTTGCCTAAGTACAGTGGAAAAATTAAATAATTATCAAGCTTTGACCAAAGTATAGAGCATTTTGACCAAAAATATCAAATTGTTATTAAATGGTATACTAATGAAAATTGATTTAACTAATGAAAAAATAAAATAAATTAAGGTAATGATAAATCATTGAAAAATGCATATGCGGTATATGGCCTATATGCCGTGTGTTATACTTCAAGAAAAACAAATTAATTTAATTTAATTTTTTGAAATGATATATAGTAAATTAAATAATGTTACAGATAAAACATTTTGAAATAAAATATAGTATATGGTTAGTAAATATATAGTTAGTAAAATATAGTAATTTGGTAAAATAACAATATAAAATAAATGGTGGATTGTTATATATATATATATATATATATATATATATATATATATATATATATATATAATGTTAGTAAATTAAACAAATGATCAATTCTTGGTGCTGGAAATACAGAAACAAAGGATGGATGACCAGGGATGAGAATCTCACCTCGCAGGGACTCCAATTGCTTCTGCGGAATGAACGACTGATCATTAACACAAACGGAGATGGCGACTGACCTTTTGGTCTTCTACTTCTTCTTTACTTTTTGTAAGCTCATTTAACATTTTATTTAACTTTTGGGGCCTTGGTCTTGTGCTCCCCAAACGTGTAATTCATATCCATTAATAAATTTGGTAAGGGCATAAAAAAAATGTTAGTTCTTTTTCCGGCTTCACACGGGCTCGCATGTATTCTAATATTTGACATTAAAAAATATAATATTATTTATTTTAATTCTTTAATATGATATATGAAGTTTATAAAAACCTAATAAAAATAAATATGCATCTATGACATCACTTGTGGTATCACATGTGGCATGGCGTGCACACGTGACGTAGTGGGTAATAAATATACACCATGTACTAAAATATACTTCGTAGTATCTAATAGGATAAAAAGTTTGAAATAATTTTGTATTTAATAAATATTTATATGTAATAAAAATGTTATAATATTGCTTTGAAAATTTAATAACAATAAATGTTCTTTGTGCTCAATGATAATGGTTATTTAGTGCAAGAAAGTGAAGGGTTTATAAAACTAGTATTTTGACCCGTGCCATGCACGGGGTCGAAAGAAATTTATGTCGATTCTAAATTTATTTTAATGAAATTTATTTTTCAGAATAAAGTAAATATATTGCTCACATGATTTTTAATACTACAAATGAAAAAAGCCAAAGTAAAATAAATAATATTTGAGGAACAGAATGTAGAGTTAACAATGTTTATTTTAATACCAAATTTTCCGCAAGATTTCAGGGTATACAACATTTTTGGTATGATTGCAAAGGTTTCTATTGTCATCTAGAACTAATATTTTTAATCCGGTCTTTGTCTTCAATCGTGAAACAACAAAATATAGTTGACCATGTGTGAACACTGACTTGGTTAAAAATAATCCCACAAATGACAATGTTTGACCTTGACTTTTGTTGATTGTTATAGCAAAACATGAGGCGATCAAGAATTATCTTCTTTGGAACTTCAAAGGTAACCCTAGATCAGATGGTACTAAATTCATTCTAGGGATGTAAACTTTTTCCCCGACTCGATTTCCCGAAACCACAATTGCACCAATAACATTATTTCGCAGCTCTTGAACGATTAATCTTGTCTCATTACACAATCCAGATGTTTGGTCAATGTTCCTCAATAGCATAATCGGTACCCCTTTTTTCAAGGCTATTTTGTGGTTTGGGATTCCCAAACATTTGATTTCGTTCAAAAACTCAACTGTTATCCAATCGCCATCAACACCTACATCTGCTTCTGCTTGGCACGAAGAATCAGAAATCAAGTACTTCTTTTCATCACCAGGAATGAGGGACAGAACAAATTCATTTATCATTTCAACTACTTCGAGAGTTGGTGCCAATAGTGCTTTATCCTCATAAAAGCATAATTTTTCATATTTTCAAACATAAGTCATTTCCCAATATAAGACTTAAACCTTTTCAAATTATTCATTTTTCATTTTTCAAATTTTACATTTTTCATTTTTCATTTTTCAAATTTTTCATTTTTCATTTTTCAAACTCTTTCCCAATATAATTTTTCAAATTTTTTATTTTTCATATCTGCACTAAATAACACTAAAACAAAAGTTATTTCCCAAAATAAGACTTAAACTTTTTATCCCTTAAATAACACTTAATAATGTCTAGAAGGAGAAATAATATTCTGTGACGGTGAACATTTGTCTAAATAATGACTAATGGATAATGACTAAAAGTGCTACATTGGAAAATAAAAAACATATGTTGCTATTTAGGGAAAGTCATTATGTTTTAGTGTTATTTAGGTAAATTCCTCTGACTATGAATATATATATGGAGTATCAATTATTTCAGTTGAACACAGCTTAGTTGCCATTTTGATAAATGAATTACGTGTTAGATATAAGTAAATTTTCCAATTTAAAAATTATATTTGAACTTTGAATTATTTACATTGATCATTCCGTATCAATGCCTATTTTTTTTTCCTCGCATGCATATCATTTTGTTTTAAAATATGTACTCACATTTTTTTTATATTCACCCATTTCATATCAAATTTATTGCAAAGTTTTGAGTTTTATTTAAAAGATTTTAAATACGAATATGTTTTTACTCAACTTTGTCAATATTCGTCCATTTAATTGTTTAAAATATTCAATATGTATAAACTATTTTTTTTCCATAAAAAATATAGAAAAATGAAATTAAAGAGTTATGGTTAGACATCATTTTATTCCTATTGATGTAAATATAAAATTGATAAAAATAATCAGTGAGCTATATGCATGCCTAGATAAATCAACAATTATACATTTTAATTATCCATGATTTTTATGCAACCTATGAACGACGTTTAATTTTTTTACGGATGCAGATTATAATTGATAAAATAACATGACTATAAAATAACATGACTAAACTTATATTTTATCTTTTCTTGGAGTGTTCATTTTCACATGCAGAATTTGTTAAATTCTTCTAAATTGACCTCTAATATTAAATTTTGTATAAAACTTTTTTTATTTCACATAAATTAATTTATCTATACTAATGATTTATATATGAAGATAAGAAAATTTTTCAATGCTCATTAAAAAGCAACCATATAAATTTTAAATACAAAAATTCTGGTCACTAACATATCCCATTTCATTTTGTTATTTTAAATAATTCAAAAAGAGTAAATTCCCAAAATAGTCCTTTGTAATAAGGAGTTTTCCCAAATTAGTCCTCAATAAGTTTTAATTACCTACGTGGTCCTCTATAATTGGATTTATTCCCAAAATAGTCCTTTATAATAAGGTATTTTTCCAAATCAGTCTTCAATAAGTTTTGATTACCTACGTAGTCTTCTATAATTGAGATTTATTCCCAAGATGGTCCTTCGCAAATAATATTACTCAAATGAGGAATAATTGATGGTATTTTTTTATCCGCTAAATTTAGAATTAATTATTAAAATAATCATTTATAATGAAGTGCTTTCCCAAAATGATTTTTCTAATCAAAGATGTATATTTGATTTGAAATTTAAAAGATTTTTTTAAGTTTTAAATAATTCATACATTATTTATAATCAATGTATTTTTTAAATTTTACATTTAGTTGTACAGAAATGATTGTTTCGAAAATCTACTTTAAATTTGGATGATCAAAATACCAAAATATCTCCCAATTAATCCCCATTTAATGACTGATTTTGGAAAATACCTTGTAACAAAGGACCATTTTGAGAATTTACTCATAAATAATTTATGAATTATTTAAAACATAAAAAAATCTTTTAAATTTCAAATCAAATACACATTTTTAATTAGAAAAACCAATTTGGGAAAACACTTCATTATAAATGATTATTTTACGAAGGACCATCTTGGGAATAAATCTCAATTATAGAGGACCATATCGGTAATTAAAATTTATTGAGGACTGAATTGGGAAAACACCTTATTACAAAGGACTATTTTGGGAATAAATATCAATTATAGAGAACCACGTGGGTAATTAATACTTATTGAGGACTAATTTGGGAAAACCCCTTATTACAAAGGACTATTTTGGGAATTTACTCATTCAAAAATGTTATGCATCAAATTACCTTAAAACAATAAAACAAAATTAAATGTATTAAGATAAAACAATCTTTAAAGTGCGTACATTTTCTTTCTTTTTTTGTTGAAGTATTCATTTTCTCATTTCTCTTGCATCTCTAGCTGATCTCGTACATGTATCGTCAACTTGATTTTCCATAGCCCCAATTGAAATTGAAAAATAGGATGCTCCTACCACCTATCCTTTTAAAAACAAAAGCTAAAGTTGAATTAACGATTCTCCGCTTATTTATTGCATAATTAATTCTGAATGCCTATGTATTGAAATGGAAAATGAAAATGGGTGATGGATGTCACATTTCAACTCATTATATATCTCTTTTTATAATAGGATTTTGACCCAAGTATATAAAAGTTTCCATAAATTTGGATATAAAAGTGAGTAATTTAACTCATTGCCAGTTAGATATATAAGTAAGGAATTCAAAATAATATTGGGTCCATCCTAGATATAACGAATATCTTACTAAAGGAATCCAGAAAAATATCACTGATTATTCAAGATACATAATTAAAGATTGCCATATATAAGTAAAGGGATCCAAAATAATATAAGTATTATCCAACAAACATAATATAAGTAAGGTGATGAATAATATACTCGTGATCATAATTTTCAAATTTAGTACTATTTAGGATTGTTTCTTAATAATATTTTTCATAAATTTTGTCAATCACCATATGTTAGGGAAGTAATCTATTCTTGAAATCATATCATACCATTCATGGCTATGCATGAATCATTTTCTAATGCACGGCCATATTAGGACAGTTTCACATTTAATTATTTACTTACCTTTTGTATTTTATGAATGACTTTATTATGGTGAGAATTCCTGCGTTAGCTACTGCCAGTCCTTCACTTTCACTTCTTTTTGCTTTTGTGCTACCTTATCTCTTTCTCTCCTTTTTTTTCATTTATTTAGTATATGGGCCACCATAAAACATTTGGGCTAAAGCTTTACACACAAAAATAAGCCCAAATATAAAAGAGAGATATAAAGTGTTGTCCAATTAAAATTAAACACTTCCTCCATGTAGGAGAGAAATTTCCCAACAAATCTCCCCCTCACTCCTACATGGAGTGAGCAAACAAACCGGCTTTCTCTCGACAAAACACGAGTTTCTCCTTCGGCAATGTCTTGGTCAACATATCCGAGCAATTCTCACTTGTATGAATCTTCACAAGTTCAAAAGACTTGTCCTCCACGGCTTCTCGAATCCAATGATACCTTCTCTTAATGTGTTTG